GCTCTGTTGCAGCAGAATCAAACATAGCAGCCTAACAGCCCTGAATGGACAACAGAGCTCACAGCTCAGCAATTGAGCTCCAAAAAAGTACAGACTGTCTCCTCAAGCAGCTCCCTGACCCCTCTATATCCAAAAGACTGACATTTGGCAGGCATCATCCTGGGACAAAGATAGCAGGAAAAAAAACGGGTAGCATCCCCCATTGTGCCACAGCTGCTAGAGGTGCACCCCAGACAAGCAGGGCCTGAAGTGGACCTCAGCAGTCATACAATGAAGAGGCTAGATTGGTAGAAGGAAAACCAAGTAACAGAAATACTTCATCATCAACAATCTGGGTGTCTACTAAGAGACCAAATCGAAAAGTCAGCAACTACGCAGACGACAAGCAGATAAACCCACAAAGATGGGAAGAAACCAGCATAAAAAGGAGGAAAACACCCGAAACCAGAACACCTCGCCTCCTAGAAAGGACCAAAACTCCACACCAGCAAGGGAGCAAAGCTGGACGGAGAATGACTGTGACGAAATGACGGAATTAGACTTCAGAAGGTGGATAATGAGAAACTTTTGTGAGCTAAAAGAACATGTATTAAATCAATGCAAAGAAACTAAGGAACTTAAAAAAGATATGAGAAAATGATAACAAGAACGGATAACTTAGAGAGGAATATGAATGAATTAAAGGAGCTGAAAAACACAATACAAGAACTTCGCGAAGCATGCACAAATTTCAATAGCCGAATTGACAAGGCAGAAGAAAAAATATCTGAAGTCGAAGACCAACTCAATGAAATAAAACGAGAAACCAAGATTAGAGAAAAAAGCGCAAAATGGAATGAACAAAGTCTCCAAGAAATGTGGGACTGTGTGAAAAGACCTAACCTACGTTTGATAGGTGTACCAGAAGGGGACGAAGAGAATGAATTCAAGCTGGAAAATACTCTTCAGGACATCTTCCAGGAAAACCTCCCCCACCAAGCAAGACAGGCCAACACTCAAATGCAGGAAATACAGAGAACACCACAAAGATATTCTGCAAGAAGAGCAACCCGAAGGCACATAATCGTCAGATTCAACAAGGTTGAAATAAAGGAGAAAATACTAAGGGCAGCCAGAGAGAAAGGTCGAGTTACCCACAAAGGGAAGCCCATCAGACTCACAGCAGATCTCTCGGCATAAACACTACAAGCCAGAAGAGAGTGGGGGCCAATATTCAACATTCTTAAAGAAAATAACTTTCAACCCAGAATTTCATATCCAGCCAAACTGAGCTTCAGAAGTGAAGGAAAAATAAAATCCTTTGCGAACAAGCAAGTACTCAGAGATTTTGTCACCACCAGGCCAGCTTTACAAGAGGTCCTAAAAGAGGCACTACACATAGAAAGGAACAACCAGTACCAGCCATTCCAAAATCACACTAAAAGTTAAAGAGCATCAACATAATGAAGATTCTACAACAACTAACAGGCAATACACCCACTTAGCATCAAAATGGCAGTATCAAATTCACACATAACAATATTAACCCTAAATGTAAATGAACTAAATGCACCAATCAAAAGACACAGACTGGCAAATTGGATAAAAATCCAAATCCCATCAGTGTGCTGTATCCAGGAAACCCATCTCACATGCAAGGATACACAAAGGCTCAAAATAAAGGGATGGAGGAAGATTTACCAAGCAAATGGAGAGCAAAAATAAGCAGGAGTTGCAATTCTCATCTCTGATAAAATAGACTTTAAAGCAACAAAGATCAAAAGAGACAAAGAAGGCCATTACATAATGCTAAAAGGATCGATACAACAAGAAGAGCTAACGATCCTAAACGTATATGGACCCAATGCAGGAGCACCCAGATACATAAGGCAAGTTCTTAATGACTTCCAAAGAGACTTAGACTCCCACACAATAATAGTGGGAGACTTTAACACTCCACTGTCAATATTAGACAGATCAACCAGACAGAAAATCAACAAGGATATCCAGGGCTTGAACTCAGACATGGAGCAAGCAAACCTGATAGACATTTACAGAACTCTCCACCCCAAATCCACAGAATATACATTCTTCTCAGCACCACATCACACCTACTCAAAAATTGACCACATAATTGGAAGTAAAGCACTGCTCAACAAATGCAAAACAACTGAAATCATAACAAACAGCCTCTCAGACCATAGTGCAATCAAGTTAGAACTCAGAATACAGAAACCGACCCAGAACCGCACAGCTTCATGGAAACTGAACAACTGGCTCTTGAATGTTGACTGGGTAAACAATGAAATGAAGTCAGAAATAAAGAAGTTCTTCGAAACCAATGAGAACGAAGAGACAACATGCCAGAACCTCTGGGACACATTTAAAGCAGTCTCTAGAGGAAAGTATATAGCAATAAGTGCCCATATGAGGAGAATAGAGAGATCCAAAATTGACACCCTATCGTCAAAATTGAAAGAGCTAGAGGAGCAAGATCAAAAAAACTCAAAACCCAGCAGAAGACAAGAAATAACTAAGATCAGAGCGGAACTGAAGGAGATTGAGATACGAAAACCCCTTCAAAAAATCAATAAATCCAAGAGCTGGTTTTTTGAAAAGATCAACAAAATAGACAGACCCCTAGCCAGATTGATTAAAAAGAAAAGAGAGAACAACCAAATAGATGCAATGAAAAATGATAAAGGGGAAATCACCACAGATTCCACAGAAATTCAAACCATCATCAGAGAATATTACAAACAACTCTATGCACATAAACTATTAAACCTGGAAGAAATGGATAAATTCCTGGACTCCTGTGTCCTCCCAAGCCTAAACCGGGAGAAAGCTGAAACTATGAATAGACCAATAACAAGGTCAGAAGTGGAGGCAGCAATTAAGACACTACCACACAAAAAAAGCCCAGGTCCAGACGGGTTCACAGCCGAATTCTACCAGACACACAAAGAGGAGCTGGTACCATTCCTTCTAAAACTATTTCAAACAATCCAAAAAGAGGGAATACTTCCCAAATCATTTTATGAGACCAACATCATCCTGATACCAAAACCCAGCAGAGACCCAACAAGAAAAGAAAACTTCAGGCCAGTATCCATGATGAACATAGATGCAAAAATCTTCAATAAAATATTGGCAAGCCGAATGCAACAGCAAATCAAAAAACTTATTCACCATGATCAAGTAGGATTCATCCTGGGGATGCAAGGCTGGTTCAACATATACAAGTCTATCAACGTAATTCACCACATAAACAGAACCAAAAACAAAAACCACATGATTATCTCAATTGACGCAGAGAAGGCATTTGACATAATTCAACAGCCCTTTATCCTAAAAACCCTCAATAAACTCGATCTCGATGGAACGTATCTCAAAGTAATAAAAGCTATTTATGACAAACCAACAGCCAATATCATACTGAATGGGCAAAAACTGGAAGCATTCCCTTTGAAATCTGGCACTAGACAAGGATACCCTCTTTCACCACTCCTATTCAATATAGTTCTGGAAGTTCTAGCCAGAGCAATCAGGCAAGAAAAAGAAATAAAGGGTATTCAAATAGGAAAGGTGGAAGCCAAATTGTCTCTATTTGCAGACGACATGATAGTATACCTAGAAGACCCCATCACCTCAGCCCAAAAACTCCTGAAACTGATAAGCAACTTCAGCAAAGTCTCAGGATATAAAATCAATGTGCAAAAATCACAAGCATTCGTCTACACCAATAACAGACTTAAAGAAAGCCAAATCAAGAACGAACTGCCATTCACAATTGCTACAAAAGAATAAAATACCTTGGAATACAACTCACAAGGAACGTAAGGGACCTCTTCAAGGAGAACTACAAACCACTGCTCAACAAAATCAGAGGACACAAACAGATGGAGAAACATTCCATGTTCATGGTTAGGAAGAATTAATATCGTGAAAATGGCTATACTGCTCAAAGTAATTTACAGAATCAACGCTATCCCCATCAAGCTACCATTGACTTTCTTCACAGAACTGGAAAAAACCACCATGAACTTCATATGGAACCAAAAGAGAGCCCGCATAGCCAAGTCAATTCTAAGCAAAAAGAACACAGCGGGGGGCATCACACTACCGGATTTCAAACTATACTACAAGGCTACAGTAATCAAAACAGCATGGTACTGGTACCAAAACAGAGATATAGACCAATGGAACAGAACAGAGGCACCGGAGGCAACACAACATAACTACAACTATACAATCTTTGATAAACCTGACAAAAACAAGCAAGGGGGAAAGGATTCCCTATTTAACAAATGGTGTTGGGAAAACTGGCTAGCCATGTGCAGAAAGCAGAAACTGGACCCCTTCCTGACACCTTACACTAAAATTAACTCCAGATGGATTAAAGACTTAAACATAAGACCTGGCACCATAAAAACCCTAGAAGGAAATCTAGGCAAAACTATCCAGGACATAGGAGTAGGCAAGGACTTCATGAACAAAACACCAAAAGCATTGGCAACAAAAGCCAAAATAGACAAATGGGACCTAATGAAACTCCACAGCTTCTGCACGGCAAAAGAAACAGTCACTAGAGTGGATCGGCAACCAACAGAATGGAAAAAAATTTTTGCAGTTTACCCATCTGACAAAGGGCTGATATCCAGAATTTACAAAGAACTCAAACGGATTTACAGGAAAAAAACAAACAAGCCCATTCAAAAGTGGGCAAAGGATATGAACAGACACTTTACGAAAGAAGACATATATGAGGCCAACAATCATATGAAAAAATGCTCATCGTCACTGGTCATCAGAGAGATGCAAATCAAAACCACACTGAGATACCATCTCACGCCAGTTAGAATGGCGATCATTAAAAAATCTGGAGACAACAGATGCTGGAGAGGATGTGGAGAAAAAGGAACACTTTTACACTGTTGGTGGGAGTGTAAATTAGTTCAACCATTGTGGAAGACGGTGTGGCGATTCCTCAAGGCCTTAGAAATAGAAATTCCATTTGACCCAGCAATGCCATTACTGGGTATATATCCAAAAGACTATAAATCGTTCTACTATAAGGACACATGTACACGAATGTTCATTGCAGCACTGTTTACAATAGTAAAGACCTGGAATCAACCCAAATGCCCATTGATAATAGACTGGATTGGAAAAATGTGGCACATATACACCATGGAATATTATGCAGCAATCAGAAATGATGAGTTCGTGTCGTTTGTAGGGACATGGATGAATCTGGAGAACGTCATCCTCAGCAAACTGACACAAGAACAGAAAATCAAACACCGCATATTCTCACTCATAGGTGGGTGATGAAAAATGAGAACACATGGACACAGAAAGGGGAGTACTAAACACTGGGGTCTATTGGGGGGAAAAGGGGAGGGCCAGTGGGAGGGGGAGGTGGGGAGGGATAGCCTGGGGAGAAATGCCAAATGTGGGTGAAGGGGAGAAGGAAAGAAAAGCACACTGCCATGTGTGTTCCTACGCAACTGTGTTACATCCTCTGCTCATGTACCCCAAAACCTAAAATCCAATAAAAAATTTAAAAAAAAATAAATAAATGTATCCCAGAGAAAAAATAAATAAATAAATAAAGACTATCCTAATTGTAGCTTTATTTTATAAACTGGGAAACTAAAGCCCAGAAAATAAACTTATCAAAGTTTATGATTCTACACAGTGGCAGACAAGATCACTTTAGCTTTAATTTATAAACTAGGAAACCAAGGCCCGTGAAATAAACAAACTTATCAAAGCTTATATTTCTAGACAGGGCAGAGATGAAATCATGCATGAACCATCTACATTCCTACACTGAAGCACTTTCCACTGTATTATACGTCATTTATCCGTGATAAAATTTCTTGTACAAAATTACACTTGTAGAAGGATTCAACTGGAAAATAGAGGATATATCATGAACTGCATTGATATGACTTGGCTCTATGTCCCCACCCAACTCTCATCTTATAGCTCCCATAATTCCCATGTGTTGAGGGAGGGACCCGGTGGGAGATGGCTGAATCATGGGGGCAGGTCTTTCCAATGCTGCTCTCATGATGGTAGATGGGTCTCACAAAATCTAATGGTTTTAAAACAGGAGTTTCCCTGCACAAGCTCTCTCTTCCTTCTGCCATCAATGTAAGGTGTAACTTGCTCCTCTTTGCTTTCCACAATGATTGTGAGATCTCCACAGCCATGTAAAACTGTAAGTCCATTAAAGTCTTATCTTTTGTAAATTGCCCAGTCTCAGGTATGTTTTTATCAGTAGCATGATAACAGACTAATACAGAAAATTGGAGTCGGGTGCTGCTGAAAACATACCAAAAAATGTGCAGGCAACATTGTAACTGGATAACAGACAGAGGTTGGAACAGTTTGGAGGGCTCAGAGTCAGGAAAATGTGGAAAAGTTTAGAACTTCCTAGAGACTTGTTGAATGGCTTTGATGAAAAGCCTGATAGCAATATGAATAATGAAATATCAAGGTTGAGGTCGTCTCAGATGGAGATGAGAAACTTGTTGGGAACTGGAACAATAGTGACTCTTGTTATGTTTTAGTAAAGAGGATGGTGGCATTTTACCCCTGCCCTAGAGATGTGTGGAACTTTGAACTTGAGGGTGATGATATAAGTATCTGGCAGAGGAAATTTCTAAGCAGCAAAGCATTCAAGAGGAGATTTGAGCTCTGTTAAACACACTCAGTTATTTAAAAAAAAAAAAAAAGCATAAAGTTCAGAAAATTTGCCTCTTCACAATGCAAAAAAAAAAATCCCATTTTCTGAAAAGAAATTCAAACTGGCTGCATAAATTTGCACAAATAATGAGTAGCCAAATGTTAATCCCCATGACAATGAGGAAAGTCTCCAGACCATGTTAGAGGTCTTCACAGCAGCCCCTCCCATCACAGGCTCAGAGGCTTAGGAGGAAAAAGTGGTTTCATGGGTGGGGCCAAGGGTCTCCATGCTGTGTACAGCAGAGGGACTTAGTGCCCTGCATCCCAGCAGCTCCAGCCATGGCTGAAAGGCCAACACAGGGCTCAGACCATTGCTTCAGAGGTTGGAAGCCCCAACTCTTGGCAGCTTCCACACAGTGTTTAGCCTGTGAATGCACAGAAGAATTGCGGCTGGGGAACCTCCACCTAGATTTCAGAGTATGTATGAAAACTCCTGGATGCCCAGGCAGAAGTTTGCTTTGGGGTAGGGCCCTCATGCAGAAACTCTGGTAGGGCAGCATGGAAGGGAAATGTGGGGTTAGAGCCCCCACAGAGTCCCTACTGGGACACCACTGAGTGGAGCTATGAGAAGAAGGCCACACCATACTCCAGACCACAGAAAGGTAAATCCACTGACAGCTTGCACTGTGCATCTGGAAAAGCCACAGACACTCAATGTCAACCTGTGAAAACAGCCAGGAGAGAAGCTGTACCCTGCAAAACCACAGAAGCAGAGCTGCACAAGATCATGGGAACCCATATCTTCTATTAGCATAACCTGGATCTGAGACCTGGAGTCAAAAAAGATCATTCTAGAGCTTTAAGATTTGATAGCCTAGCTGGATTGCAGACTTGCATGAAGCCCTTAGCCCCTTTGTTTTGGCCAATTTCTCCCATGTGGAACAGCTGTATTTCCCCAATGCCTGTGCCCTCATTGTATCTAGGAAGTAACTAACTTTTGATTTTACAGGATCATAGGTGGAAGGGACTTGCCTTATCTCAGATGAGACTTTGGACTGTGGATTATAAGTTAATGCTGAAATTAGTAAAGACTCTGGGGGACTGTTGGGAAGGCATGATTGGTTTTGAAATTTGAAGACGTGAGATTTGGCAAGAGCCAGGAGTGGAATGACATGGCTTGGCTCAGAGTCCTCACCCAACTCTCATCTTGTAGCTCCCATAATTCCCACATATTGTGAGAAGGACTTGGTGGGAGATGGTTGAATCATGAGGGCCGGTCTTTCCCATGCTGTTCTCGTGATAGTGAGGGGATCTCATGAGAGCTGATGGTTTTAAAAGTGGGACTTTCCCTGCACAGGTTCTCACTGTTTGCCTGCTGCCATCTATGTAAGACATGACTTGCTACTTCTTGCTTTCCACCATTATTGTGAGGCTTCCACAACCATGTGGAACTGTAAGTCCATTAAGCCTCTTTCTTGTAAATTGACCCGTCTTGGGTTATGTATTTATTAACAGGATAAAAACAGACTAATACATGCACACAAATCCATCATAATAGAGTCAGTCGCTTCCTTCAGTTTGGTTTCACTAGGATATATGCATCTGGATGAAAAATGGTACCATACAAAGAATATTGCATCTGATACCTCACATCACAGAGAGTATAAAGGAAGTTGAATAGGCCAATTGGAAAAATGCTAGAAACCAAAAAGTAGGTACCAGCCTATATAGTCAAAAGCAAACTCTATTGCCAAGTCTACAAGGAGTTTTTCACTTGAGATAAGCATATCATTCTATATTCTAAATACAGCAATATTCCAAATACTGGGCACCACTGCCAATTCCCCAATGCCCTCACAAAAATTAATACAGCCAATTGTTGAAATACTTGAATAACTGGTTGTACAAACACAACCAAAGGTTTGTCATGGTCCCCAACAGAAGAAAAAAGACACTAAAACCACAGATTTCTCACTAGGTGTCTTTTATAGGGGATAAAAGTAAACAATCCATGAAAGTGTCTCCATGGAGAAGGAAATACAAAGAGACAAATTTTAGTGACAGTTTTACCTGTCAGTAAAATCTGCAACAATAAACTCTGTTAATACCACAAGGGGAACCAACATTGTATTGTCAGCTCAGTGCACTAATTGACTGTTCATGTATTTATCTAAATACTAAAGAGAGAAGGAGCCTAGATACTATCAAGTCCAGGAAAGAGTCCAATACTATGGGTCGTGAAGGCCTGTAGAAATTTGGGGTATCTGCCAAAGGATTATAAATCATTCTATTATAAAGACACATGCATATGTATGTTCATTGCAGCACTGTTTAACAATAGCAAAGACTTGGAACCAACCCAAATACCCATCAATGATAGACTGGATAAAGAAAATGTGGCACATGTACACCATGGAATACTGTGCAGCCATAAAAAAGGGATGAGTTCATGTCCTTTGCAGGGACATGGATGAAGCTGAAAAACATCATTCTCAGCAAAGTGGCACAAGAACAGAAAACCAAACACCACATATTCTCATTCATAAGCGGGTGTCGAACAATGAGAACACATGAACACAGGGAGGGTAACATCACACACTGGGGCCTGGGTGGGGGGATTGAAGAGGGATAACATTAGGAGAAATACCTAATGTAGATCACAGGGGGATGGATGCAGCAAACCACCATGGCATGTGTATATCTATGTAACAATCCTGCATGATCTGCACACATACCTCAGAACTTAAATATAATTAAAAAAAGAGAGAAAAGAAGTTTGGGATATCTGAAATAGGAACAGACTCCTGAACACATCTCTGAGACTGGTAAGCTAACATGAGAAAAATCACTCCACTGGAACTCCTGCTGCAAGTCTTTCTTCTCTGTAGCCTAATCAATTTGCCTCGGCATACAGAACATCAAGAGTCACTTGGTGATCCTGAGTTAACATAGCTCAAGTCTAACAAGGGAACAGTTCCTCTGAAATCGCCAGTCACTTATTTCTGGGATAATAGCAGGGAGAAAAAAAAGAGACTTCAGGATCAAACAAACCCAAGTGTGATCAAACCCAACCCCATTTACTAGCTGTGCAACCTGGGGCAGACACCTTAACCTCTTAGCATCCTTGCCTTCTTTATCTATAAATGGTCTTCTCGTACACCCTTCAAAACTATAATAAAGACTAAATGATTTTATGAATGTATGTGAAATATCTAGCATATTTAGGTAGTCAGAAAACAGTCATTATATTATCATTGTTATTGTCACTGTTACTGGCTCCACATGCTGGCAGGCCAGAATACGGGCCTCAGGAGCATGACCCTATCCACACTACCCTCATTTGCATACACCCAGCTTATAAAAGGCAGAAAATAAAAATGCATGAAAGCAGTCATAGGAAAAAAAAATAGTTGTTTCATAAGAAGGAGAGAAAAAGGTAAAAAGCAAAGCTGCATACCTGGGCAGGAGACAAAAAGGAATTGTTGGCCTTCCTGACAGACCTAATGACCTCCTGCAGGACCTCACGGCAGGTCCTCTACACTCTCTGAGGATTGATTTTCCGCATAGCTCAAAACCCCAGCAATTAGTGATTCAAGTGTCCTCTTCAGAAAATGCAAATACCTTTGTTCAGGTTAGGGTTAATGCTCACATTATGCATCATTCATACACTTAGAAGTTGTTTAATCAAACTGCTCCCTTCAAAGAAAATAATAGAATGCCACAAAGCACTTCCTAATAGTGAAACAGGCTGAGGGAATAGGAAGGAGGACTGAAAAGGGCAGTGAGGGGAAATAAGGAAAGTCTAAGGTGGTTAAAATCTGATAGAAGAATGTGAAAACAAACTAGCTTATTTCAAAATCTGCCTACAAGATGACTACTAGCTATACAGCAAAAACCTCCTCTCTACATTTTCCCTCATTTGCCTCAGTTCTGATCTCCTAAGAATAGAGTGGAGTACCACAGTGAAATTTTTAACATTGGTTCTAGGAGATTCTGTGAGCCAGCCAGGAAACTTAACTTTATTTGTTTAACTTTTTTTTTGCATGACAAAATTAGTTCTGAGTTCATACAACTCACTTACATGACTCATGAAAGCTGAAATTAAACTGTCTTGTTTAAGGTCAAGAATTATTTCATTAAACAAATAAATGAACAGATACATAAACAAATGAATAAATGAAGGGAAGGCCTTTCTGATTAGACTCACCCCTGACCTCAGTTTGGTTTTCTTCCAAGCACCTATCACCATCTGACCTCATAATTCATTGTCTATCTTCCCTTCTAGAACAGGAACTCCATGAGAGTACAAACTGGTTTCACACTACTGTTGTCCTCACCTATAATAGTGTATGGCAAATTGTACATGCTCAGTAAATATTTGTTAAATGAGTGAATGGCTGAACTGAACAGGAAATGTCTCTACAAGACTTTCGAGGTTAAACACTAAGGCTTTAACAGTAATGCTCCAGTTCCTTCCCTTGTCAGTTCCCCATTTCTTGTTTCACACCACAAGAACATGACTACATTCCGAGCTTGTGATCATTTCCTTTTATAATGTCCCACTGATCACTTTGAAACAGTAGAGGTCGCTTGTCATGATACTGGCTACTGTACCTACTTTTCCCCTGGGATTTTTTTTTTTTAATGGCAAACCTTCAAAGATGTTCCACCTGTACCAAAAATAGAAAATTCCACATAAATATAATGGCTTTCCCTGCTCTTTTTTAAGTATTTTAAACTCATTATCTTTTATCTTTGAGAAGACTTCTAAAGCCAAATCACATAAAATTGTAAGATATTCTCATTTCTTTTTCTATAGGAAAAAACCCTGCTATAGAGAAAAAAATGCTGGGAGGGGGCACTATAATTTATTGCAGCTTTAAGTGTCTGTAAGTCACTCCCCCTGGCACCATCTGCTTCCAATATTACAAATCTCTTCTGTTTGAATAATGAACACAATACCTTTCCCCCTGTTGATTATTATCATTTTAATTACAAAATGGTCATTACTATTAAACCAATGGCAAAAGGTAGGTCATACTGTTATAAAATAATAAAGCATTTCCCCACTTGCAAAGATTCATATATTAAATGTCTGATAATTCTCAAAATCAATTAGGCCATCAATGGTCAAAGCCCAGCTGCTTGTAAATCACATTTAAAAGTCTGACAATAATAATTTCTTTATATTCAGTCATCGAGCTTCCTCATATAAATAAGTAAAATAAAATAAGCTTCACTTTATAACTCTAATCTCATTATAAGAATTCAAACACAAAAAAGAAAATTTATTAACTAATTACTAATTATTATAAAGTTATATGACTTGGTAGTAAACCCTCAAATCCTGCAAAAAGACTTGTAATTCCTGAGTTGGAGACAATGCTCTGGAAAAATACAGTTTTTAAAATAATTAATTGTAAAATGATCAGTCTAAGATATTTCTTAAAAAACAATGCATAATTAAAATTACTCACATATATCTGAATGAGTAAACAGATTTTAAATTGAACCAAATATATTAAGGGGTACTTGTGGATTTTTAGAATGCTTTCTTATACAATTCAGTACTAGTCAAATTAACTCTTCATTCCTCGAGATGTAAGGGCAAAAGCTAGCAAGGCTAAGCAGTAGTTTTGAAAAACTAACACTTGGGCCGGGCGCGGTGGCTCACGCCTGTAATCCCAGCACTTTGGGAGGCCGAGGCGGGTGGATCACGAGGTCAAGAGATCGAGACCATCCTGGTCAACAAGGTGAAACCCCGTCTCTACTGAAAATACAAAAATTAGCTGGGCACGGTGGCACGTGCCTGTAATCCCAGCTACTCAGGAGGCTGAGGCAGAAGGATTGCCTGAACCCAGGAGGCGGAAGTTGCGGTGAGCCGAGATCGCGCCATTGCACTCCAGTCTGGGTAACAAGAGCGAAACCCCATCTCAAAAAAAAAAAAGAAAAACTAACACTTGACTACTCAGAATACATGTGAATAAATGTACCACATCTACAATCTCCAAAACATGTACACTTCTTCCTGCTGTGAGTGCTATTCCTGAAAAAATTAAAAATGATTAAACAACAAGCACCTTGGTTTTTTAGACATGACCCACTATGTTGCACCAAAGGCTGTGGAGGAAAAAAAGTTCTATTGTAGCAAGCAAATGGCTACACTTTTCTAAAAGAATGAAATCCAAACTAAATCACATAGTCAGCGTTTAGCTCAGAAAGGGACATGAAGATACTCTTGTTAACATTGGGCAAGACAGATGATCTATCTCCTAATGGTAAAAGCTGCAAGATAAGAAAGAGTTCTTGCCTGAGAACCACCTACTCAGACTTGCCGCAATCAACCCAAGAAGCACTATCCTGAGGTATCATGTTCAAACTTGAGCTCATTCAGCTCAAATATCACCTGGAAAGTTGCTGCCTAGAGCTGATACAGGAAGATACTTCTTTTACAGCTATAAGCTCAAAAATTAAATTTAAATTACTGATATAACTTTAGGATTTGCATGTGTTGCAAATGCCTTTTCACTTAATAAACATACCTTATATATATTTATACATGTACAATTTAGGAAATGCCTTTAAAATATTGCCTTCTGCCCTTTTAAGTAGGTGTTTTTCCTTTCCCTTCATAGATAAGGAAACTGGTACTTAAATAATTTAAATGACATTCCTAAGGGCACTGGCCAATAAGTGGGACTCAAATTTAGGTGATTTGACTCCAGGAGCAATTGATGTTCCACTAAACCAACTTTCCAGTTTTTCCCAGATCTTTATCTTCCCAATTAAGTGTTAATTCTGTAATTAGGTTAAAATTTCCACATTTACCAAGAGAAGACTAGTCTAATTTTCCCAAACCTAGATGAAACAGGCCTCCCCTTCTATCACTTACTTTTTAATATTTGTATTAAAAATTATTTCAAAATATACTACACAAGCCAAATTAAACTCATTTCTCTGCCAGAATGAACTACAAATGGCAAAAGTCAGTCCAACAAACTATGACTAGCACCTCTTAAACTGAGTATAACTTTTATCAAATGATAGCTCTGAGGAAAAAAAAATTAAAAAGAGAAAAGAGGGCTTTCAGTTTGATTGGTGCCACTTCCCACAAACTGAAATGGTTTTAGCTTGGTAATCTCAAATACCAGGTGCCCTGACTTGTACAAACTATACCGTGAGACACCATCACTAGAAGATTTTATATCATATATAACCTGACCTTACCTCATCAATTGTTTTTAAATTGTATTTATATTTTTTAATTTTATTTTTGTGCATATGTAGTAGATGTATATACTTATGCAGTACATGATATATTCTTAAACAAGCTTGTACTGTGTAATAATCACATCATGGAAAATGGAGTGTCCAACCCCTCAAGCTTTTTTATTTTTTGAGATGGAGTCTTGCTCTGACACCCAGGCTGGAAGTACAGTGGTGAGATTTTGGCTCACTGCAACCTCCGCCTTCCAGGTTCAAGTGATTCTACAGGTGCCTGCCACCACACCAGGCTAATTTTTTTGTACTTTTAGTAGAGAAAGATTTCACCATATTGGCCAGGCTGGCCTCAAACTGCTGACCTCATGATTTGCCTCCCTCGCCCCCTCAAAGTGCTGGGATTACCCAGTGTAAGCCACCAATCCCGGCCCAAATATTCAGTCATTCTAACTATAATTTTGTACCCATTAACCATCTCCACCTCCCCTCTACCTCCTACTCTCTATCTCCATGGGTTCAATTGTTTTGATTTTTAGATTCCACAAATAACTGAGGACATGTGGTGTTTAGCTTTATGTGCCTGGTTTATTTCACTTAACTTAAAGACCACCAGTTCCACCCATGTTCTTGCAGATGACTAAATCTCTTTTGTTTCTGTGGCTGCCTAGCAAGTACCACATTTTCTTTATACATTCATCTGTTGACGAACACTTAGGTTTCTTCCAAATCTTGGCTATTGTGAACAGTGCTGCAAAAAACATGGGAGTCCAGATCTCTTCAATATACTGATTTACTTTTTGGGGGGTACTGCTATACCCTCAGCAGTGGGAATGCTGTATTATATGGTAGATCTATTTTTAGTTTTTTGAGGAACATCCAAACTGTTCTTCATAGTTACTGTAATCATTTACATTCCCACCAACGGCATATGAGAGTTGCCATTTCTCCACATCCTCACCAGCATTTACTTTTGGATACGAGGCATTTTAACTGGGTGAGATGATACCTCGCTGTAGTTTTATTTGCATTTCTCTGATGATCAATGATGTTGAGCACCATTTTGTATGTCTGTTTGTCATTTGTATGTCTTCTTTTGAGAATTATCTATTTAAATCTTTCTCCATTTTTTAATCAGATTATTAGATTTTTCCCCATAGAGTTATTTAAGCTCCTTATATATTCTGGTTATTAATCCTTCGTCACATGGGTCATCTGCAAATATTTTCTCCTATTCTGTGGGTTGTCTTTTTACTTTATTGCTTTCTTTGCTTTGCAGAAGATTTTTAACTTGATGTGTTCCCATTTGTCTGTTTTTGCTATGGTTGCCTCTGCTTATGGGGTATTACTCAATAAATCTTTGCCCAGACCGATATCCTGGAAAGATTCCCCAAGCATTTTCTTTGGGCAGCTTCATAAAGCAAAAGTAGCTTTGACTTTGATAAACACAGCAACATTTTAATAGTCTGAATTCTTTTGCCACTCTTTGCAGAGAATTTATTACTGAATGGCTGTATCATAGTTCAAGGTTTCCTTTCAATGACCTCACAAGTAGGAAATACATATATATTAAGTAAAATTGGCAAAAGAGACTCAGTTTAAGAGTCAAAAATTAAACAGCTTATTTATTTCACACTATAGACATTTAAGTAGGTCCCTTTAGTATCTTTTCAATATTATTCTTTTTGTCTTTTAATTAACAAGGTAGGTATAAATTCTTACTCATAGATTAAAGCAAAAACAAGGTATCATATATAAAAGTGTTCTGAAGACAGTGGAATTAAAAATGAAGTGATTTTAACTGAATATTTCACCAATATGAAGAAAATATACCACTCCATTGGAGCTCAAAATGAGTGATCTTATTCTTCAGTTCTATTGTTGTTCTACTGTCAAATACAGTTTTTCCTTTCTCTCCAAATCTCTCACTTTACTTTGTTTAAAACAAACGAACATGGATTTTAGGCTTCAGGATGCAATTTGGCTTTCAGGACTAAATGCTGAATCTTAGACAAGCCCTGAGGAGATGTGTATCTCTTTTGATCATAAAGTGACTTATTGTAACTGAAGAGAAACAGAGAAAAATAAATTAAGATATAGTGAAAATTAAGCAAAGCACGCAAGGAAAATGTGACAACCTTCTCTCCCCCTTGGTTTTCAAGTTTCCTTGGAGCATTCCACAATCTTATTCTTTTTCATGTTCGGTTAATGTCCATTATATCTGGAGAACTTTGTCGTGAAATACATACTTTTTCCCCAACAAAAATCATTAGAACATACAGACTTTTTCAAAGAATCTGTGGTAGTAATACGATCTCAAAAACACAAAAGAATAATAGCAGTTTTAGCTACTTCTAGGAAACAATGTGGTGGTAAAGAACAGCTAAAATTATTTTTATGGTAAACCTGAAGTTAAACAGTATGCTATCACTGTGCAGTAAAAATACTTGCTTTTTTAAAATTCAGACGTAAGGTGTCAGTTAAAGCATAGAATTTTTTCTGAAGATAATAAAGAAAATACTTATTTTTATGATTTAAATAACAGAATTTAGTCACGTTAATTGAGGCATTTTTGTCACTACTGGGCAATGACCATATGTGAATTCCACGGGTAATGTATTAATATTCCAACCAATACAACACAGAAGACAACCTTAGAACTGTACAGAAGGAATCAAAGAACTTATATACGTTAAGCTTCACTCCAGCCTACAAACAGGAGAGCCTGCATTTAAAAGTCTTAAAGGTTTCCTGAATTATGGAATCTCAATTTACCTGCCAATTAATCCAGTTCTTTCTTTTTAAATGTAGACTCTGACCTTAAACAGAAGGCATATTCTAGCTGACTTCTAAGGGTGTCCAGAGTATACCTCAGAGAACCCTATGGTCTGAGTTTAATACCTGTTCTTTCTATAAAATCTCAAAAGTGACATCATAATGAAAAGAAAAGCTACTTTTTCTCCTAAAAATACCTCCCTTCATCATCAGTGTGTTGTCGTTTTTGCATTGCAAAGAATTGATATTCTAAATGTTCCCTTCCATACAGAAAGCCAAAAGAGAGAATGTGAGTTTGAGTGAGAGGGTGTAGGTAAGCTGAGGGATAGTTTGGTACCCAAAAATGAATCATTTTGAAGATAGAAGTAATATAGTTTAAATCCCAAGAGGCTGCGATTGAGGAGGGCAGGGAAATAAAGAACCTAGGAATGGAACACAGTTAACAGCCCATGTGAATAACATAGCACAAACCTACCAGGTTTATTTCTGTGAATTCTCACATAGTTTGCTGGAAGTTGCTCCTGAATTGTTTATAGGTCTAATCTTTAATACACATGCTCAAATAATTGTATCAGGATTTTCCCTCAAATAGTTATTCTTTAATGAACTGAAAAATCAGGGTAATATCTTCCTGTCTTTAAACATTTTCTGTATTTTCCTGAAACACAAGTCACACCTGCAAACTATATCTAACTATGAAAATATACACAAAACTTCTACCAAAGTATATCTATATTATCAATCAGTCAGGAAAAACTTACTAGACACTAATAGGCAAAATGCAAGGGACTCATGTGCCAAAGAATCACAGGATCAAATACATTATGAAGATAATGTAAGCATCACCAGAGTGGGTGACTGTGTTTGTCTTACTCCCTTTGTAATTACCACTAGCCTCCAACACAACATAATAGGCCCTGGATAAACATCAGCTGAATCAATTGCTTTTTTTTAAATGGTGCAAATAAGGAAATCAAAATGGCTACAGTTTGCTGTGCTTCCAATGTCCCTACAAAACTCATGTTAAAATTTTATTACTATTGTGATATATTAAAAAGTGAGGCCATTAAGAAGTGAAGTGATTCATCCTTGAGGGCTCTGCCCTCATGAATGGATTTAGGTATTTATCATTTGGGTTCGTTCATTATCACAAGAATGGGTTGTTACAAAAAGCAAGTTTGATTCCCATCTTGCTGTCTTGCTTTTGAGCTCTCTTGAACTTCCACCTTTTGTCACAGGATGATGAGGCACAAATATCCTCACCATATGTCAATGCTATGCTCTTAGATTTGCCAGTCTCCAGAACCAGAAGTCAAATAAACTTCTGTTCACAATAATTTACTCAGTCTGTGGTATTCTGTTATAGCAGCATATAAGGACTAAGGCATGGTTGTTTTAGTTATCTGGGTCTTGTCACTTACCATCTCTCTGTGCTGCTTTCTGGCAACAGCAGCAAACCCCAAATTCCACTTACCTGGCTACTCTCCAGATTACCTATTACAACAGTCCTGCTAAACCTGTATCTAACTGACTAGAACTATCCATTAACTTCCATACATCTAGAATACAGTAATAATTGACAATTCAGGCTTATAAGACATTTTTTAACCTAGAAAGGTCACCTTGCACTCAGTATTCTTTGAATATAATTTTTTTAACATCAGTAATTTTACATTATTCAAAAATTAAAATGAACAAAAAGTACTGTTTTCAGCCATGTCAGATGATGATGTTTACTATAGATTAATCGCTCTGAAATTTCACGAGATAAAAGTGATATAGAAAACCAGCCATAAAAATTTAGAAGCTATATTGCTGATATTTCAGATTTAAAAAAAAAAAAAAGGTTTAACCTTGAATACCTTAACTAGACCATTTAGACATCTAATGTATCTCTCTCCATTGGCTTCATACTGAAATAACAGGCACCACCATCATTTTATATACAAAGCAGTCAAATGGTTAATTTCTCAATTGGCTACATCAGCATCATACACCATTTCAAACTATGTGTTTGGTTTTTATTTAGCAGCTATACATGAGAAAAATTCTCATCTAATTTTCCATGATCAAATGTTTTCCCCATGTCTTCCTTAACATATTTCATTGAGACATATTACAAAGACATATGAGAAACTATTATGTACTCAAGGTGTTTAAATCTAGTTGGAAAAATAAGATCTGTGAGACAAAGAATAAAATACAGTGGAAGCACAGGCAAAAGGAGACACGCACAACTCTCTGCATGTTTAGAGGAGACAGGTAACACAACAGGGGATGGGGGCAGTGCAGAAAGAGGTGATTACAAATGACTTCTAGGAGTTGAGGCTTACAGGATGGATGGGATATAGACAGAGAAAAAGAAAGGCATAGAGCAGACCTAAGCAGGATTTACAGAGAAGAATGTGGCAGAGGTAGGAGGTTACTAAAGAGCATTACTGGAGAATCAAGTTAGAATGAGAAAAATACTGTGGTGAGTTATGAACATTGAATTTTGTTTTATAGACAAGTCTGGGGCACTTGAAGGCATGAACTGAGACTTATATACCCACTGCCTAATGAAGCTTCACACATGGTGCATACTCAAATCTAATAACCCTCACTTCACCTCCACTTGACATTGGCCTCTTACACCCATAGTCTCACCCTAAAAATTGTTCTAAGAACTTCTGGACACTCAAAATCTTCCAATGTAATCTAGCTGCAATCGTTTATCTTTCTGCCTCTTTCAACCCCTCATTCTCACTATACCTGCTCCTCAATTGGATAGAGGCTTCAATATCATAATTTTAGCACTATCTATAAATTCCCTCCTGACATCATTCTGTAATTGGGAAGAGAGAAAATAATAAAGCAAATAAGTATATATTTAGAACTGCCAATGTACTATGGGTGAGGCCAGGAAGTAGATGATATCCAAAAGTAGATGATGGAGTTAATTAATAAATAAGCCAACAACTCAGAAACCTGGAAGAGGCAGCCACAGATTAGTTTTAGAATCGGGTGAAATTAGTCAATAGACCCTGAATATCTGAACGACTAGGAAGTTGACTTTGCTTTCTGAAAATTAAAAGTCAGCATTTATAGGCTTTACATATTCCAAAACAGCATAACAGAATTGGGATCTTATTTTTGCAAAAAGATTAAATTGCTCTGTGTAAGCTATTCCTCGAGTTCAATAAGTCTTTTGTTTGTTTATCTTATCTCTGGCCAAGTATGTTTATGTGTATGTTGTCAGTGTGTATGTGTGTGTGTAATGTGTATGTTCAGAGACACTGAAGACTGATGGTCAATCAAGAAAAACCCATGCTGAAATTGTTAAGAGCTGGGAAGTGAGCCAGTTTGCAATCACTATAGGAAATGCTTGAGCAAAATTCCTTGTTACTACTCTGGTAATAAGCATTCTTCAAAAGATTCCACTTTGCATAGTTTAGTCCTCTCTGATGAAAAAGATGTGTCTTTGGAAATCAGTCTGAATTGTTTTTAAAAGTAGTGTCAATAAAATTAAACCCAACATATTCACTGATTTCAAGAACAATAAAAATAAATAGTAGCCTTATGCTGTAAAGAAGTCTGTACAAAATATGTAGGTACATACACTTGGAGAGATTTAACACCGAATCTTGCCTTCACTGCATCTTTTTCATTAAGTTTTCATAGACATATAATAGAGGAATGAGAGGTGAAAAATCCAATAATTCCTACTAACAATTCTTCCTCAAAAATAATGAAGAGAAATTGGTTTTCTTGGAGTAAAGTACAGTTTTTCGAAAAGACATTTTTAAAAAGCAAAAATTGATAGATTACTTAGCATATAAATTCATATTCTTTTGCTTTGCAAATGTTCTCATGGAACAATGAAACTCTAGGCACAGTAACATCAAGTTATTATTCTAGTTCCTATGGAAACATGCATTCTACTTACTGAGGCCAATCGATATGGACACAAGTGCAGGGCAAATACACTTAGGGATAAATCATACAATTTATATTTCTAGTAAAATATGCTCATAGCTATCAGAAATAATAGCAAAAAAAGAACTCAAAGGTCACTGAGGAATGTTCTCTGAAGTTATTAGCCACTAGTACCATTATGAAAAGCAAAGCAAAACATAATATTAAATTCTAGAATCCTACCTTTGGAATTTGGTGTGTGCAAACAAACATCAAGCATTCAAATTCATCAAAGATGAAGGCTGAAAACAAATTAGGTCAAACACTTACTTTAAAAAAGAAAAGGTCGGGAGCAGTGGCTAAAGTCTGTAATCCCAACAATTTGGGAGGCCGATGCGGGTGGATCACCTGAGGTCAGGAGTTTGAGTCTAGCCTGGCCAACCTGGTGAAACCCCGTCTCTACTAAAAACACAAAAATTAGCTGGGCATGATAGCATGTGCCTGTAATCCTAGCTGTTTGGGAAGCTGAGGCATGGGAATCACTAGAACCCGGGACAGGGAGGTTGCAGTGAGCCGAGATCACACCATTGCTCTCCAGCCTGGGCAACAAGAGCAAAACTCTGTCAAAAAAAAAAAAAAAGAAGAAGAAGAAGAAGAAGAGAAGCATTTGCCTATGCTAAACATCACCTTGTTCAGTAAATCTCAGTATCCACACATGAACAGGAATATCATAAATAAGGTCATACAAAAAATAATACAAGTCCTTTTTAAAGTTGTTAGTTATGAAGAATTTGAGACTGCAAGAGAATTAGATGAAAGTATAAATATGTTTAAAACTCAAACAGCACATATTTGTTGGGGACTTTCCTGTGTGCCAAGCACTATGCTACAGTCTATGAGGACAAAAATTGAATTTTGTTTTTGACAAAAATTTATGGTGCATTTCTATTATGCTATTTACTAAGATAATCATCAGGGGAAATAAAATAGATAAGATGCCATGCAAGAAAAACAGAAGCTGTTAGCAATATAATTTCTGGGCAACACATGCTACTGAACTGGCATTACAAGATAAGATGAAAAATGGGCCAAGTGAACAGCACAGTCATGTGTGCTAAGAGTTTTCAAGAGAGAGACCATTCAGGCTTAGCCAGTAAGAGAAGTTTTCACAAAGTAGGTAGAAATTGACTTGGCCATGAATAATGGATGGACAGAAATGGAGTAGTGAAACAACTGACAATGGTGATAGGACAGGAATTTGCTGGGCCAGTATAGGTCCTGATAAGACCTTAGAGTATAATTCCGAGGGGAGCGGAAATAATAATAGAGAGATAGGCTGGGGCCAGAAAGAGAAATGCCCCTGAATGGGTAGGCATTTTTACTATGGGAGTTACAGAATCTTGGACCTAGACAGAGTTGACAGTTTCAAAATGTGAATTTCACCTCAATAAATTATGTTTGCAATGTTGGATGATGATAATTATTACTGTAATTGTTAACTGCAAAGTACCTGAAACATCTGAACTTCCAACCACATAGAGATTGGATGTAATGTTGGAAACACCATATCACAAAAACTAAACATTCTCTAAATATAATATAGGAGAATATTTAATGACATAGAAATAGGTTCATGGTGTATTGTATAAAAAAGAGAATTCCCAAACAGCTTACCATATCAAATCTATAATAAAAAAAAAACTGAAGTCACGTAATTCAAAATGTTAAAAAAAAAAAAAAGTGTTAACTCTTGAGTATTAGGACGAGTGATTTACATCTTCTTTTTTTATTTTTCAGAACAAATATCTAAAAAGTTATTTTTAAGATGATTTTATCAGAAATGCATTTCTATGTAAAACACAAAATTTTTATTCAGTACAGACTCACTGCAAATATAAAACTAATGATTCATGATATTTTTCTGGATAGAATCAAGCATAAGGTAACAGATTAGTACACAATATGCTATTTTAATTAGCAACTTACAACATTTGCTAGAATTAAAATGAGCTTTAGGTAAATAGCTTACTCCAAAGCACATGTAAATTTTCAACAATTTTCTTTCTCTGTTTTTTGAGGGTTTTGTTTGTTTGTTTTGTTTTTCTTTTTCTTTTTCTTTTTCTTTTTTGAGACGAAGTCTTGCTCTGTTGCCAGGCTGGAGTGCAATGGCACCATTTTGGCTCACTGCAATCTCTGCCTCCTGGATTCAAGCGATTCCCCTGCCTCAGCCTCCCAAGTAACTGGGACTGCAGGCGCTCACCACCATATCTGGCTAATTTTTGTATTTTAGTAAAGAAGGGGTTTCAACAGGTTGGCCAGGATGGTCTCAATCTCCTCACCTGGTGATCTGCCTGCCTCGGCCTCCCAAAGTGGTGGGATTACCAGCATGAGCCACCGTGCCTAGCCTTCCTTCTTTTCAAATTTTATTGATTGATTGAGATAGAGTCTCGCTCTGTCACCCAGGGCGAAGTGCAGTGGCGCAATCTTTGCTTACTGCAACCCCCACCTCCCAGGTTCAAGTGATTCTCCTGCCTCAGCCTGCCTCCCCACCATATCCCCAAGTAGCTGGAATTATAAAGTGCACACCATTACACCCAGCTAATTTTTTGTATTTTTAGTAGAGATGGGATTTCACCATGCTGGCCAGGCTGGTTTCACTCCTGACCTCAGTGATCCATCTGTCTCGATCTCCCAGTTTTAGAATTACAGGCAGTAATTCTAAAGAGTCACCACGCCCAGACTCTCTTTTTTTAATCTCATTTTATATTTATTCTCAAGTCTTCCCCAGAGTGACAGAATAAAAACTATCCTATTTCTACACCATTTTTTTTTTTTATTAAAATCCCACTCAAACAAGGAATCCCATTAGGTCCATGGTCTTCCTCTTTTTCTTTTAGCCTACATTTGTTTTTCTTTGAAGGATTGCCACAGCATGGGGTGACTGGGGAGAGGAAGGCATCTTGCTCTCAAAAAACGAAGATCACCATAATTGTCCACTCTCTTGTCCTCATTCTTAGTGATTCTCCTTACAATCATCAACTCCAGCGGATTTTCACTTCTTATTATTACCAAGGTGGGGCAAAATAAAAGCAATCAGGTGAAACCCTTGGTTCAGAGGTCTTCCATATTTCATGAAATTCAAACAAATGCCCAGACTATATTTCACTGTAAGATTAGCAAAAGCACACCTCTTCAGCTGCGCCCCCTTTCCTCATGTATTCGTGGATGCCAAAATCAGAACCTACAGTTCAAGAGCTGCATACAGTTGCATCTTGTTTTGAGTTTTTGTTTGCAAACTGTCAGTAAGATCAGAATAAATTGCATGATATGCAGTCCAATATGTATATTCTTGAGCACATCTCAATGTATCCACCAAAAAATATTCATAGCTGCAGGTGTGGGGGAAAAAAAGGCAGAATTATGGCTTGATTTGCCTTGATAAGCATGGTAATTTTCTGTACACTTTTCATAAAGTGCTAATCAATTTCAGCTCAAAATAGATTGAAACACCCAACAGATTGCTGCCATAGTCCACAAATGTTTGTCATTCGTAAGCTGTGGCAATAATGTGAATACAGAGGAGGGAAACTGCAACTGAACTACACCTTGTACAAACTCCTTTCATTTGCTTTGTAATAACCCCTGAAGAAATGTTAAAAATTATTGTGAAATCACATATGTTTGCAATTTCAATTTTTTCTTGCTACATCAGAGTATTGCTTGTCACACAGTAATATCACATGTCTATTATATGGTTATAGATGAATTACATTTAAAACTCAGTGTAATAATGACATTTAGGACTCAGAGATTATGTTTACATTGTTTAATATTCCTCTAAAATATAATTATAGTTTAGCTCTATTACATACAAATTGGAATTGAATCATCACAGATTTCTACATTAAATCACCTTTTCTATCAATATGTTAAGCTATTAGAAGCAGCATAATTTTCTGAAAATGCTTCATCAACATTCTAGTCTTTCCACTATTGCTATTTCACAAACACTTAGAGGTGCTAATATTCATACTAACGTACCTTTTCAATTAGTAGTGCTCTTGCTACATGAATCGCTCATCTGCCCAGGATGTTTTGCCAAACATAAGTGCCAAAACTTTACTGAGGACTGTCATACTCCTACACAGGGAGCCTCTGATCAAAACTGAGCATAGACTTTCCCTTTTGTACGTGTGAGCAACAGTCGGTAATGACATTTAGATCTGGGTATGGAATACTCTCCATGGAAAGTAGGAAATTAAATGAGAATAGATAACATTTCAAATTTTCACACCTTCCTCTTCTAAACTACAAAAGTGATAATATAATTTTTTTAGGATAAAAACTACACAATTTGACTTCAGAAAAAAAGAGTACTTAAAAGTTGTGACTTTAAGCAACTTCTGTGATCACCATCTGCCAAAAAATTTATTGCCAAAATGAGAGGCAGGAGAGTGTAGTAGACACAAGCTCTGTATTCAGAAAGTCTGAGTTTTTATGTTGAATCTCCCATTTAGTATGTGACCTTGAACTAGTGACTTGCCCTCTCTATGTTTCAGCTTGCTCATTTATAAAAAGGGGGTTATAAGTGTAACTAATTTAGGATTATCCTGAGATTAAATGAGATCATATGTGCAAAGATCTGAGCAAAGCAGCTTCAAGTCAATTCTCAATAAAACAGCTGCCTTATTATCATCATCATTTATTTGCAAGAGCAGTTGTAGGCCCATGGTATGAGTATGAAAAGTGCTGTTACCCTGCTTCATATGACATGTCCATTGAGTGCTTGTTTCTTGGTCTGGGTCCTCTTGGATAGCATGTATTAACCTACTTTCCAAAACAGACAATAATATGTTTAGAAATCAGTTCAGCTCTGCATGAGACGGTAAACCAATTGGCTCAAGCTACCACCTACTACTCCTGTTAAAGTGATGAAAGGGGTATCTGAAAGATGTAAAACACTCTTAGAGTGTTTATGCTCTTGATTCTCCTGCATAAATGGAAAAATTGTCATTTTTAGTTTATTGCAGACCTAATACAGCAGCAGCTGGGTTCAGTGAAAAACCGTTTCCAGGATCTTATTCTCATCACCTATTTATATCTCTGGAATTGAGCTACATAATCATCTGTTAAGCCATTAGATTGACAGAACCCAGTGAGAAAAAATTTGTGTGTTCTGACTTTGACAAACTTAATTTGAGGTTGTTTTAGGAGAGAAAATTTACGTTATTCATGCAATTAAAAAACAGAAGTATACAATTCAGGAAAAAATTATTAGTGTGCTTAAAATATAATGACAAAAATACATTTCAAATATTCTTACATAATTACTGGAATCAAAAAGAAAAGAGTTCACTGCGCTGACTCAAAAGTCACTTAAAATCTCCACATCAAATATATTCCTTTTCTTTCTTCCCCTTTAGAATATTTCTACTTGGCAGTTGCTATGGAACAGATCAATGTACAAAAGCAGTCAAACAGAAACATATTGAAGAAAATTCAGGCTATTGACATATACATCTGTATTTAGAAGCTGTTATTTACCTGAGATCACAGAGTCATTTGTCAGCTTCCCTGTGGCACTTGATTATATTTTACATATTTGTGTTTTTCTTCAAAATGCCAAAACATCAGTGCAAACAACTTCTGAGATAAACTATCACCATATTCACTTTTCCAAAGGCAAATTAAATATTATATAATGCATAGATGAGGAGTACAAAGCCTCATCTATTTTGATGCTGCTTATACTACTTTTAAAATTTCAGGTACTCTCTCAAGGACAAACTTTTAGAACTTTTGCTAGATATAGGTCAAAATCAGATTTTCCAAGAAGTTACTGATACAAAAAAAAAAAAAAAACAGTCAAATCTTGCATAGAGCAAATGAAAGGCCACTATCTATACAACACGCTTTGTACATAATAGATATCCAACCTGTATTTACTAACTCATTTCAATAAATAGCTTTCAGTGCAAAAGATTTTTTATATATTAAACAAATACTTAAAGTGCCTAAATACATAAGATGCATTTTAGCTATTTTTTTATCAGTAGTTTACACAAGTGCAGGGGATACCCATCCCAGAAATGGGCAAGAAAAAACACTGTAAAAACAGATAAAACATTAGAGATTATGTTCTTATCTTTATAAAATATATAGCTGTATATTTTATAATATATAAATTATTTTAATAAACTAGCACATATATATAATTATACACACACACACACACACACACACACATACACACACCTGCACTAGAATATGTGGCCAAATTTGTTTTTGCCAATAGTGTTTGTGGTTAAAAGACTACATAAAATGAAAAACTCTTCATTCACAGATCGATTCTATGTTGTCATTTTACATATTATGAAGATTTATCTGCTACAGTTCTAACATTCTTCACAGGTGTGACTGGCTACTATATTAACATATATTTCCATTGCTTGGTAGTATACATAGTAAAAAACACATGTATCCTGAATAATCAGATTTTTCATAATCTCAACTTTCAGCTCTGAGTTTTAGCTGATGTTTATGGGGAGAAAAAATAAAAATCTTTGCCAGGAGACAAACAAGTGCCAACAGATACAGGAAAAAAATGCTCAATATCATTAAGTATCAGGGAAATGCAAATCAATGCCACAAT